GCTAGCTTATGTTCGTGGATACGAAGACGAAGGGGACGTCCACTTTGGCCAATGTAGTGTTTTTCACAGTTGTTACAGTTTATTTTGTAGATGATGTTGGTTTTGTCTTCTTTCGCTGTTGAGTCTTTTGGTTGACATAGAATTGAGTGCAGCGACTTTGTTGGTTTGTGTACGACGTCAATTCCTAAAGGTTTGAAGAGTCTTGTAGTGATTTCTGAGATATCCTTTATATATGGTAAGGCGATTTTCTTTGTGTTTTCCTTGGTGGCTTTTGTTTTGGTAGGTTGGCTTGGGGGTATATGTCTCTTGATGAAATTCCGTGGATATCCATTCTTTTGGAAGACGTCCATGAGATACTTTTCTTCAATTTTTCTTAAGGTGGGAGTGCTGCAGTGAGTCCTTGCTCTCTTGAATAGTGTTTGTATGCAGTTCCTTTTGTGTGCTATTGGGTTGTTGCTGTTGTAATTCAGTATTTGGTCTGTGTGAGTTGATTTCCTATAAACTTGAGTTTCTAATTCTCCTGTAGTTGTTCGCCTGACTAAGACGTCCAAAAATGGTATTTTGTTCTCGGATTCCTCTTCTCTTGTGAATTTGATGTCGTTGAAGACGTTGTTTATTAAGTTGTGAGTTTTGTCTAATTCGTTTCTTTTGATTATTACAAATGTGTCGTCGACGTAGCGTATCCAAATCTTGGGTTTGATCTTTGGTAGAATTATGTTTTCGAGTCTTTGCATCACTGCTTCTGCAATCAAACCTGATATTGGCGATCCCATGGGTGTTCCTTTGACTTGTTCATATATTTGGCCGTTGAATTGGAAGTATGTTGTTAGGCATAGATTTATGCATTCCATCCAGCTTGTGTGTTGCATTTTTGATTGTTGTGGAAGTTGTTCGTCGTTGCTAAGTAATTGCTCCATGGTTTCTTTTGCTAGTTTTTGTCCGATAGAGGTATATAATGCTGTCACGTCGAAGGATACCATTATTTCTTGTTCATCTATTTGGATGTCTCTGATTTTCTCTAGGAATTGGATAGCAGAGTTGATGGAGTGATCACAAGATTCCGTTAGGTGTTTTAGTTTTCTGTATAATTCCTTGGACAAATTATATGTTGGAGTTCCTGGGAGTGATACAATTGGTCGTAACGGGATATTTGCCTTGTGTATTTTGGGTCTGCCGTAGAATCGAGGTAGGACTGGTCCATTGGATTTCATTCGCCATTGGTCTTGTTTTGTGATCTGTCCAGTTTTGCTGAGCTTGTTTAAGGTCCTTTGGATGCGGTTGTCCAATGTTTGTATGGGATTTGTTGGGAGTTGTTGATATACATCTTCATCTTTGAGTAGTTCTTCAGCTTTCTTGGTGTATTCTTCTCTGTCCATGACTACTGTTGTTCTTCCTTTGTCGGCTGGTAAAATGACGATGTCCTTCCTATTTTTCAGCTTTTTGAGGGCCTTTAGTTCTTGAGAGTTGAGTTGTGTGTGTTGTCTTTTCTGTTTGACCATTGGTACAATTGTTTGGCGTATCTCTTCCTGTGTTTCCTCGTTCAAGTTTGATGATTTGAGTAATGATTCAAGGGCAGCGAAGAAATCAGTTTTTGAAGCATCTCCGGTGTTGTAGTTTAATCCTTTTTGTAGTAGTTGTTGTTCCATTTTTGATAGTGGTTGTTTTGATAGGTTGACTACGCAGTCTATGGGCGTATTGTCTGGTTGTTGTTTTCTAATCTTGGCTAGCTTGGTTTTGAGGACTCTTCGTCTTTGTTCTCTGTGTTTTCCACTTGACAGTGTAATTGCGGTGATCAGCGTTGACAGGTGTTCTTGGTTGAGGGTTTTCTCTAATTTTGCTTTTTGGACATCTATTATTTGTTGATATTTGTTGATCCGATAATGTGCGTCCGTAATCATTAATTTGACCATTCGTCTTCCACATTGTTCGGCCAATTTCCATCCCATTGGGCAGTTGACTGGTGGCTTGTATCTTACACTGTTTGGTAGGATTGAATGACGAAGGCACTCATGGAGAAAGAATAATTGTTCTCTGGTGGATCCTTGCCTTTTGGCGAAGTCTTCCCACTTTCGAACAGAGAGAAGCGTATCCCGCTCGTAAGATTTAGATATGATAGAGAAGATTTGTAGCTCAGGTGGATAATTTTGATGTGGTTTTGTTCTCTACTCTCAAGAACTAAAGGCCCTCAAAAAGCTGAAAAATAGGAAGGACATCGTCATTTTACCAGCCGACAAAGGAAGAACAACAGTAGTCATGGACAGAGAAGAATACACCAAGAAAGCTGAAGAACTACTCAAAGATGAAGATGTATATCAACAACTCCCAACAAATCCCATACAAACATTGGATAACCGCATCCAAAGGACCTTAAACAAGCTCAGCAAAACTGGACAGATCACAAAACAAGACCAATGGCGAATGAAATCCAATGGACCAGTCCTACCTCGATTCTACGGCAGACCCAAAATACACAAGGCAAATATCCCGTTACGACCAATTGTATCACTCCCAGGAACTCCAACATATAATTTGTCCAAGGAATTATACAGAAAACTAAAACACCTAACGGAATCTTGTGATCACTCCATCAACTCTGCTATCCAATTCCTAGAGAAAATCAGAGACATCCAAATAGATGAACAAGAAATAATGGTATCCTTCGACGTGACAGCATTATATACCTCTATCGGACAAAAACTAGCAAAAGAAACCATGGAGCAATTACTTAGCAACGACGAACAACTTCCACAACAATCAAAAATGCAACACACAAGCTGGATGGAATGCATAAATCTATGCCTAACAACATACTTCCAATTCAACGGCCAAATATATGAACAAGTCAAAGGAACACCCATGGGATCGCCAATATCAGGTTTGATTGCAGAAGCAGTGATGCAAAGACTCGAAAACATAATTCTACCAAAGATCAAACCCAAGATTTGGATACGCTACGTCGACGACACATTTGTAATAATCAAAAGAAACGAATTAGACAAAACTCACAACTTAATAAACAACGTCTTCAACGACATCAAATTCACAAGAGAAGAGGAATCCGAGAACAAAATACCATTTTTGGACGTCTTAGTCAGGCGAACAACTACAGGAGAATTAGAAACTCAAGTTTATAGGAAATCAACTCACACAGACCAAATACTGAATTACAACAGCAACAACCCAATAGCACACAAAAGGAACTGCATACAAACACTATTCAAGAGAGCAAGGACTCACTGCAGCACTCCCACCTTAAGAAAAATTGAAGAAAAGTATCTCATGGACGTCTTCCAAAAGAATGGATATCCACGGAATTTCATCAAGAGACATATACCCCCAAGCCAACCTACCAAAACAAAAGCCACCAAGGAAAACACAAAGAAAATCGCCTTACCATATATAAAGGATATCTCAGAAATCACTACAAGACTCTTCAAACCTTTAGGAATTGACGTCGTACACAAACCAACAAAGTCGCTGCACTCAATTCTATGTCAACCAAAAGACTCAACAGCGAAAGAAGACAAAACCAACATCATCTACAAAATAAACTGTAACAACTGTGAAAAACACTACATTGGCCAAAGTGGACGTCCCCTTCGTCTTCGTATCCACGAACATAAGCTAGCCGTCAAAAGACATGATATACACTCCCTCATTTCACTACACACAGACAACCACGGACATCAATTCGACTGGGACAACGTTCAAATATTAGACAAAGGAAATAACAAGAATGCTAGAGAATTTTTAGAAGCTTGGCATTCCAGTGAATCATCAATCAATAGACACATCGAGATAGACAAAATTTATCAACCAATAAGAAAGAAACTTCACACACAAAGGGTCAAAGTTCAAGTCACAGAAACAATCAGTTCCAACACAAGTAACCTAGAAGGTGTGAAAACACACATAAACAACCAATCACGTCCAAGGTCACCAGGAGGAATGATTAATAAACTCGTGGAGAAACCTAAAAGCTCACTTCAAATTGAAGTATGCGCTGAAGATGTCACCCAGTAGGGTGATGAAAGCTTCGCAAACTAACCATCCAGCTCAGAGAACAAAACCACATCAAAATTGCCAAACAGTTATCCCCCACTTTATCGAATACAAGCATAAGCTATCTAGCACGGTCATATATTAAATGGTTCAGTTGTCAATAAATGATTTGAACACGCTGTCTTTGTGCGTCGGTGGCACAGTGGTTAGGACTCTCGCCGACCATGCACATGGTCCGAAGTTCGAGCCGGCACCGATGCACATCTGATATCTATGGTCGGCCTGCAAAATTTGGGCTACCGATATCCATGCTGAAAATTCCATGCTTGTACCGAAAATACAGTGTGGAATCAAGCTGTAAATCAAAAAAAAAGACTTATTAACCAATGTGGATTTCAGATTTAACACCAGAAACTGTACATCTCATTAAATCTTGTCATTTACCTCGGTAAGCCAATAGTTAGAGTGGTAGAGAGGGGAGATTGGGCATGAGGCTAGCAACCCCATCCCGTAAAAGTAAACACTGCTACCGAAAATTCAAAGCTCTAGTTTGAAGCCTTATGTTCCAGTAGGAAAGTAAAGAAGTAAACAAAAAATAAATGCTATGTTTAACCCACTTGCAGATTTTACTTTCCTAACACTATATGTTAAAAAGAATATATAGATAACCTGAAAACTGCTAAATCTATTCACTTTTGTCATGAGATATGGTAAATGTACTGAAAGTAGTAGTTCAAGCATTAAGCTTCGTGGCTTAGAGGCTAGCCGTGTAGTATCTGAATCCATCATTCCGACCTCTTATCTCGGCTAGGCCTATAAACAAAAACTCTAACCCCGTTTAGTTTACTAGACAATCATAAGGCTGGAAAAGAGAGGTTATATGTGAAGTTAGTAACTTCACGCTGTAAAAAGAACATCGTCACCCCCCATATATATATATATATATATATATATATATATATATATATATATATATATATATATATATATATATAAATCGCTACGGAAACTTCTAAGCACAAAACGGAGAACAACACTGATTAGTTGTATCCCTGGACAGCTAAATCACGCAAAAACAGACCTATTAAGAAGGATACAGTTTCCTCATAAAACCAGTCTGAAAAGAACAAACAAATGAATATGCATATGTATGCATTACATATGAAAGCAAACAAGTGACAAAAACAATAAATCTTGTTTCTGTCTTGTCGCTCTTTAACTTGAACAGAAAACGAAAAGAAACAAGGCAAACAAAAAATAAATCTCAAAAAAATAAGTAAACAAAAAAGGAGGTAAATAAAAACCAGTAAACAGATAAATAAGTATATTAATAAATAAATAATTCAGTAAATAAATACAGATAAACTTTCAAGTATTCACTGGCGCGAAAATAAAGAAGATATTAAACACTTTTTGTTGTGCTGAGATCACAGTTTAAGTAAGGTTTGTGTGTATTTTTTGACATGTTTAGGCTCTAATAGAGACAGAAATTAGTCGAAAAGAAAGACAATTCAACACAAAAAGGTATGTTGAAAACACTTTTCAAATAAAATTTAAAATATTTATATACGTGAATCGGTAGAAACTTTGTTTTGTAGATATGAAAATATCAAAAATTAATCGATTAAAAGAAGAAAAAATGAACTAAATGACAAAAGACTACTAACACATTGCACATAATCTGAGGAAATGCACGGTCTTTGGGATCCAGGTAAGGAGGAATAAGCATAGACTTAATAAAGATAAAAGGATGTATGTGTGCTTGTGCCAAAAAAGGGAAAAAACGAACTGAAGGCACTCCGATATTGATACCTTGAAGAGCAGTAACCATTGCATAGACATAAAATGCAAATTACACTGTCAAATTTGAAAAAGCAGGATAAATTCATTTGGAGATAGGAGACGTATTCGTGATTCCTTGTTAGGATAGTGACATGGATGCCCAAAGATCTGTTTGAAAAAAATATGCAGCTGAAATTAACATTCAGACGTTATATATATATATATATATATATATATATATATATATATATATATATATATATATATATATATATATATATGTCGCTATAAAAATGAAGATCAGAACACTTTTCCCCAGCATTTTTCTTTCCCTGTGTTCCGAGTAGAACACAGGGCTTTACGGCATGTTTTTTTGGCGTTGGTATTCCTGGCCTCACGACTTACCTTCTCGGTTATCCAGACTTACTACCGGATAATAGCCTAGGCTAGGTTTTTGAGTGTGTTGGCTGGGAATCGAACATGGGCCTCCAGCGTGGCTGCCACTGAACCACTGCAGCATAGCCAACATTGTTTTAGTAAATACTAAAATCGTAGCCTTTATTCATATCGAATTTCATCACAGAAGGCTATTTATCACAATACTCTCCCATTCCACTATCAATAAAAATCACACTTACACGTATAAGCATTCAACACAAAGAATACTCAAAGACTTAAAATAAAACAAATAAGAACATCGATGTTATAGAAAGTTACTGTTGTTAGAATAGATAGATTTTTCATATACCAGGCATTGAGTCACACTTGGTGTGTTGAGGGCTGATGATACCACTGGGCTATCCAGGGTAAAGTAAGTAGAGCGGGGACCGAACCAGGAAACAATGGATGAAAACCAAGTGTTTAATGAAATAAGCTAGGCTTACTTATTTTTTTTTACTTAACATTTTACAACAACTCACAAACTTAACGTCTACAGAAGATAGAGAGAGAGAAGCAGGGAGAGAAAGAATAATACTCTTGTGTCACAAAAAGAATCGAGTATATTATATCCTTTAAAGAATCTTAGGAAAGTTACAAAGTCAAAAAGCGGATATAAAAGAATACAATTTATTGACAAGTTTTTAAAATACCTTGACAAAAAATTTTCTTTTTTGGTTCCCAATTTGCCACAATTGCAAAAATTAAAAGAACACTCAAGTTCGTTTTGATTTCTTTGCATATACAAGCACTCTAGGCAGTTAAAATTTCATCTTTAGTAGGTAGCACTGTATGTGGAGTATTCATTTCTGGAATAGATGGAATTATTACTTAGTTGTTTATCAACCCGACCTTTCATAATCTAGTTGTCTATTTTAAAGCACACTATACAAATAACGCTCGCCGACCATGCACATGGCCGGGGTTCGATCCCCGGCCGACGCGCTCCTTTACCTCGCTAATCCAGTAGTGAGACTGGTAAAGAGGAAAGGTTGGGCATGAGTCTAGCAATTCCATCCTGTAAACATTAACACTGCTACAGAAACTTCAAGCCTCTAGCTTGCAGCCCTATGTTCCACTGGGAACGTGAAGGAAAAAAAAAGGCAAATAACATAGTTTTTTAACCTTAATACTCTATATCTAACTTGTTATTTAACACAGTAGTTGTATATATGTATGAAAAGTGTACGACTGTAGTAAACAACACTATATAAAGTCTTCATGAATATAAGGATTTCACGACGTTCATTGTACTCCTTTACAATGATCAGTGTCGCATCTCAACTAAATTAAAATCGAAAACAGTTACGAAGATAAACTGTAATTCCACTATATTCTCTGATATTATCATCAAATCTTGCTGAGTAATTTATCTTAGAACATAATACTGAAACAGTATTTCTACATACTCCCGCAAATGTATTTCATGTATTATGCAACCCACTATCAATAAGATAGATTATCGAAGCTTAGCTGAAAGATGGGATAAAAGTGCTCATCTGCTTCCAGATATTACTTATTCTCCAATGTGATAATAGGTTTTGCCAGTTCAATTGTTCGAATTTCTGAATATAAGTGTTGCCTAGCTGACGGTCACACTGCAATAATTATCAACATTATTCCCTTGGAAACAAAGTAGGACACAAGGCTTCAGCAGTACACTTCCACTTCACTCCTTTCTCTGCTGCCTTTTTAGTCGACTTCACAGTTGCCCATAAGCTTTCATCTACTCTTCGTCACACGATTTTCTCTATGTCACCCTCGGACACACGTTGAACTCGACGTTTCCCATTTGGGTCCCACTCTAGGGCCTGCCATGTGAAGTTATTCCTTAGTCTCCTGATAATATATCTAATTCGCATCAATCTCCATCTGTATATTTTTGAGAGACAGGTCCTTAGTACGTTCGCTGCCAGATTTCCTGGTTGCTAATCGTTTCTGTTCGGCCACCTAATCGTTAATTATGCAACAAAAGCAGTTGTTAATGAAAGACCTCAGATTATTAGAAATGATTTCCGTAACGTGCCCACTAATTCACTGAAGCATACAGAATAGTTGACCGATTTGACGTTAGTTTTGCAGATCCGAACCATGATCCTGATGTTGAGTGCAGTATATTTATATACTGATTTCAGAGTTATATAGGACTGTCTTGCCTTCTTTATTGTGTCTTTGATATCTTCATCCATGCCACCTATAGATAAAACAATATTGCCTTACCTAGGTAGTATGATGATGATTTGAAAAATGAAGATAGGAAAATAATTACTACGTATAATGAATGACTAAAATTACCTGTTGACTGCTTAGAGTCTTGCCTAACGTATTCATAGAAACACGACATTACGTTACTGAGTAGTTCGAATCTTTACGCTTTATAAAGGTGTCAGTCGGTACGAAAATGAATCAGCTAACTGACAAAGTATGACAAATGAAAAAATAATCAAGATATACCGAATAATCTAAGTAATTCAAAAATAACTTACAGGCCAAAATAAACAAAAGCAAACTTCACAAACAGCTAGCTTTGCTGGATAAACATGATTGTCACCATATCTTTTAAGAAGTCGAACATAAGCGCGTTTCCAATTACAATCACTTATTGATACAGGAGGTTGACTATGCCATCCAGGAAGACCATAATTAACACTTGGTATCTGACTGATATCAAAATGTGTCAGAGTTAAGGTTCTCCAGAAATGCTCATCTTCAACAACACTTGCTAGAGCATTTGAAGCCAATGAGGCTGTTTCAAGGTCTTGAGGAGAGTCTATGTAAGTGAGAACATGAGATAAACATTCAGATGGAAGTCTTTCAAGTTTTATGCATTCTTCTGTAGAGCTTTCACGTTCACTTAAAGACCTGAGCTTATGGGAAGGATGTGTAGCAATTGACTGAATTTTCTTTAAAATGTAAGAACAAAACAACAAAGTAATTACTTCAGTTTAAATAAATGTTACTGAATGACATTCACAAAAAACATACACAGAGCTTTTAATGCAAACCCTGATAAAATGGCCATTTCATGTAGACGGTAAATACCAATCTAAAATATGAGTCAGTCATGTCAAACTCTAATAACTACATAATTCCGATTGTCATTATTCTAACAAAATTATTAGAAGCAAAATACCAATTAGAAAACCGAAAAGGTGGCTGAAGTTAGAAGATAGTAATTAATCAACAAAGTTTCTTTAGAAAATAGATCCCTAACTATAAACTGGAAGGCTGAAATTATCGTTGTTGATCGATAGAACTCCATGGCTTAATCTTTTAAACAAAACATCATCAAATTCTCCCACAATCAGAGCAGAATATCAGTCTACTGTTAACTGCACTCACCAAAATCGCAATACAACTTATCTGTCAATATAAGAAATCTGTGAATATTGGTTTTAATCATGTAGGGAGGTGTAGGCTGTCTGTATGGGGTTGTCGAGACGCTAGAATTCAGTAGTTGGAGTGTTGGTAATGTGACTTAAAATCGTTCTAAATGGCGTAGATGCAGCCACCCTTTATAAACTTCTTGATCCACTTAATCTTTATGTATCTCTACAAGCTCGTTCTCTCTCCTGTAGATTTCTGCTTAGTATGGCTTCCTGAACTTTTTTTCTTTTTTTCTATTTGTGTGCTACATAAAGTATGGCTATTTGAACTGCTGCACTTCTGTGCAGTTACATGTTACTTTTAGTCTACGAAGCAAGCTGAACTCAAGGAAATTTACCGAAGTAAAGTAACACTCTAAACAAGAACTTCTTCACCAGTAGTGCCCCTTATGCTTCTTGCACCTAATGCTTAACACTATCATAACATTTATAGCCTGAAAATTTTAAATAGCAAGCATGCTAGGAATTTAAGACTGATACATTCGCGTTTCCGGTTTTAAAAAATGACAAGAAACTGTTTGGTGAAATCTAGATAGTTAATTCATTTGCATCCGATATTTCGGATGATACGCATTAATGCAACTGGTCCTTGAAGTACAAAACCTATAACTATTGTCCAGTGAACATGCAATTTTTGAAATTAGCTGACGATTTCCTATGAGTACTGTTCGTAATTCTGTCTCTAAACTATCTTGCAAGTTTGATGAATATTTTGATCTAGATCAAAAACTACTGTTACTCATGATGCTTGATGGAGTGACAACTAAATAACAAACAGGAAGCCAAATAAACAATATTTCCCAAATTATTTTGGACCCGAAAGGGAAATTAGCTTAACTAAGTATATGGGAAGTCGATGTTAACTTTGACATTGTGAAGAATCAATGAGTACATATTTTCGGTCTCTATTAACTCGAAAAACTGGGTACGACACTAAAGAGATAGTCCAGAGTGGAAGATTATAGAGGCATAGCGCGTATATCATCAAGACCTAGTTAGAATTAAAGGTTAACAGGTTAAGTAATAAATCTAAAGGTGGGGGAAGTATGGTTTTAAAAACTAAAACGTCAGGTAAGATTAAGATGAACATTTGACGACTTTGTTTATAACGCCGAAGTGAGATACATATAACCATGTTTGGGCAATGCAGTCGTTAAAAAATAGTGTTAAGCATTTAAATTAATGATCGCGAATAAATAAAGTGTTAAGACTAACCAAACTTCCTAAACAATGTATAACAACAGATCTTACAAATTCAAACAAAAAAAAATGGTAACAAACACGTTTCAAGTCCCATGAAAGTGAAAACATACCTACCTTCTCAATATCAAAGTTATCAATGCAACTATACATTTCCTCCAAAGCTTTCCTGTGATTTGTCCAAAGCAAAGTACTTCCTATGTGATCGTACTCATTTTTCTCCAAATTTTCTTTTAATGCATCCAAGAGTTTTCGAAAACGTGCCGTTTGATTGCAGCTAGCTTGAACTTTATAATTAATACATATGCATAATAACAATAGGCAAACCTTGTTTAAGCACTTCTCTAAGAAGTTCAACAAGAAACAGTTGAAGTCTACCAGCCAGTCTATGAAAGTGTTCTGATATGAGAAGTTCCATTATCTACGACCATAAATTGATTTAAAAAGCATACCTTGCAAATGTAATCAAACCTCCTTATGTCTCTCAAGGCCGCCTTAGTATCTAGCTTAAGTAAAGCTTCACTGATGGTAGTTGTTGTCGCTATCTACAGCTATTTATATGCTATGAAAGCAACAAACCTCACGAGTAGCACCAGCTTGAAGATGTATATGTGGCTGGTAAAAAACTGCTCTAAGGTAATCACTAGCATAAGGCGTTGATTCGTTTTCATCTTTTAGTGCTTGTCGACACAATCTAAACTTGAAAATTACACAGAAGCACAAACGAACCGTTTAACAACATTTTCATTAATCGTTTCAAATATCCTAAGTCTGTATATTTTGGCGTTTTCCCACATGCTGCCACTTTCATTTGTTTTCAGCCAGTGATCTCCAGGATATCTCCAATCTGGACTTAAGAAAGGCATTTCTGTTCCACAAAAGTCAAGCCTATGGTTAACAGCTGATCGAAGACCTTCAGCATAAACTCAAACAAATGATAATCTTTGTGCGTTCAATCTTCAAGGTTTTACATGACAAACTTCTGTTGTTTCAGGTTCACAGTACGCGACACTGTACTCGATTAATCGAACACGGTAAACTATGTATGACCAAGGTTGAAGGCACAGTCATTTTCCAAAGTGCATTAATTTTGAGGGGCTGGTTTAAAAATGATGATATCTTGGCGGGCCCTTTTTTGCTGTTCCAAAACATTCGTAAACCTATAGCACATTCCGGGACAATCAATCTTTCGTACTACTGCATCTCAATTAAATGCAATAAGATGGGTGCAGTTGTATATTTTGGAAGGAATATTTGGTTTGTACAATTATATTGGCAAATTTTGTCCCACTAGGTTATCCTTGTACTTGATTGTCAAACACTCTGAAGAAAGCCGTAGTAGGTGACTAAGGAAGTAATGTAAATAGCGAGAAGGCTAAATAAATAGAACTGAGATCAGGGGAACCGGTCTTAAGACCAGTAGTACTGTGGAAGTGTATATGGGCAAGTAACAGAAAGAAATTAAACAGAAAAACCCACTAGGGGTGCATGTAATCATACAAGTAAACTAGTGAAGTATGTGAATTTGGCCCAGGCCTGCAGAAGTGGTCCACTTGCCCTGTAGGTGCACTCAAAACTTATTGGCAATACGACGACTGACGTTTTCCTACAAGAAACTATTCAGCCTGAACGCGAAAGACAAGCTGTCGCATTGGGCCACCTCAACGAGTATATACCAGTTTACTTGCTCTTGTGGAGCTGAGTACGTTGGCCGTACCATGCGCCAAGTTGGAAAACGCGCTCGTGAACACTATCAAGCCTGGTTAGTAAAAGCAGACTAAAGGCATGTGTCAGCCATGTCTCGTAAACCGTTAATGCCCAGCTCTTGCTACGCTCGGACTCACGCTGTCCCTTGAAGTTTCTCAGAAACGCTTAGTAATAACGGACGCAAAACCAAAACAACGATTGGCCACTTGAGAATTCTTTATTGTAACACCAACATATAAAAAATGTTCCACCGTGAATTGATCGTTCAATCTTCAACTGCATTGACAGCATGTATACAGTTCAGTGACACAACATCTGGTCAATTCAGGACATTCAGCGCCTTTGGAAAAATCCTTCAATTAATAAACAAGATCCAATCAAACCTATCAAAGGGAGCGAAACCAAGATATCTGGGCATAGCCGAGGCGCTGGTTATCCAAAAGCTCAAACCCACGTTTTATATCCAAAAGAAATACGTCGACTCCCTGTCCTTGCCATGACCATCTTAAATAGATAATTTTTTGGTAATGACGATCCCATCGCCTTTCTTGTCTAACTTCTTGTTTATTCATGGTATTTTTTACGTTTTTCTTAATCCCTGTTTACACCACCATATTTTCATTCCCGAACTCCGTGTTTATTTTTTCATTTTACTATTTCTATATATTTAATCTCTGACTGCATATACAATTATTCATCCCATTAGTTCTTATCCAAACATCCTGTCTATTTTGTTATGTCTACATTTCTAACCCCTAATTACACGATGTCAATCATCTCAGTTATTATGATGCCACTTTGTTTTATCCGTCCCCCTGTTTATTATTATTATTATTTTACTAATCTGACCCTTAACCGGAAATTATTCTGGAACTTTCCCATCCATCTTATATAAATACACGAACATACAGCCTAGACGATGACTTCATCGTAAAGAAAATTTTCTTCGCTGCAATTGTCTTCTGAATAACTCCTATGACTCAATGTGTATATAGTAAAAACGCAATTCAAAAGGATGCGATGGGTAGGAACTATATATTGTTCGTGATTGTTGGGTGATCAGCACCATTCCTTGTGTGGTTAGGTCCCCTGATTCACCTTACACCTGAGATGCTTCCAAAGATAAACTTTCAAAATCAGAAATAATCTTCTTTAATGAAACAAGATTTTGTCCTGTCATTTAGGTATCTGTTGATGCAAACATCAGTTGCTAAACATTTACTAATTTGCCAACTATCTGCCATTCTGATCCTTGTCAATGTGGTTAAAGAATGAACGACCACTTCATGATTTTTTACCCAAAACCAACTCCATATTTCGGCAGGAGTCACCGATACTGTGGTCATCGTTCCATCGTTCGCTGTTCTTTAGAAGACAGAGAAATACTATCGGAAGTATTATTGTGATTAAATTGTTATGAAATTTATTCTAAGACTTTCTGTAGAATAAGCTTATTGTTGGTTCCATATTGGTGCAAGAATAAAGGATTCTCGAGTCACCAATCTGTTTTTTTCCGCGTTGGTTATTGCACATTATTGCTGAAGGTCTTCTAAGGACAGCGCTAAATTCAGTGTAGTTAGACCTGGACAGTGATAGTCTTTGTTTCTGTACACCAGATAAACGGAAAATTAAGTTTTCAATAAAATTACCTAAAGTGTATGCTAGGCAGATCGATTTGCAGTATTTACAATACTTTGTTTTACACTGTGACTCCATCTTAAATTTTTGCCTCTTTTTACTTGACTCTAAGGTCTGAATGTCGGTCTCTTTTTCCCAAGGTGTTGTCCGCAAGACTGGTCAAACAACAGAGTGTGGGAGATCTATGAAGTCCGCCTATCCAATTGAATTTCAGCCATTTCACTTTCAGAGGTAAATTTGTTTGTCTGTGCTGGTTGAATGACACTGCGGACAATCGGTTTTCCGAGGAAGGTGAGAGTGACTGCTGCGTTGTGGTGTGACTGTGCATCTCTATATTCTCTTCATACCACAGACAATAGATACGTCATCCAGTAGCCGTAAGTAGTATATTCCCCCTTCTCTGGTTAGGGCGATTTTTAGAGAATCCCGGTTACCAGGTTAGGTGATGCAGGCTGATTAGTAAGTGAATGGTATGGATAAAACTTGATTCTAGCAGGATAGATGGCCACACAATAATCCTTAGAGTTATTTACAGTTGAAGCCGACTAGAAGCGAGCCCGAAATCCCTTAAGCAGAGTTGCTGGCAGACCTGCTAGAAGCATACATATGAGGAAGTCCATCAAACTGGAGAAATGCAGAACAGTAGATGTTAACCATTGCGGTCGAATGGTTGAAGTTAAAACCGAAAACAGGGCAGTAATAGAAAATAAATCTGAGGTGGGCATGTAAGCCATATGATGGAAGAATAAAACTCGCGACAGCTGGTTCGTAGCCAAAATAACTGCATTGGTGGAAACACGACTAATGTCTGCTGTTGTCAGTGAGATCAGAACACGAAATATGTTTCTACCTTAGCTGGAGGCATCATGGGAAAGGCCGCATTGGTACAGTGTGCGTCATAAAGAAACATTTACACTGGCACGACGCTATGGTTACTCAGGGGTAGTTAGCGGTTATGTAGATAGGAGGGATGAATAACCAATGGGGGACTATATCTTCCTTACATGGCCTTGTTTATCTATTTATCTACGAATACTCCTTGATGTGTTTGACTGGACTTCCACTGTTTACTTCCCTTTTAGTGTGCTTCAAACATTTAAACATCTGAAACCTAAATCAGTCTCGTGTAACAATAATTTAGGTAATTCAGGCAACTGCTTAGATATAAGGGTCAGTTGCTGTGGCGGTAATGCCACTAACCACGAATAATCGCTCACCAGTTGAAAAAAAGTCGGGTGCTCTCCTACGTGTTTTCCCTTCATGTTCAAAGCAGTGGTGACTACTGTGCCGTGAACAGAAAGCCTTAAGCTGCGACTAAAATATCATGTGGCAAAACAGGAGCCGTGTCCACTCTTAAGCAACACTTTCAAGTAGGGACACCCCTCGAGCACAGTGTCACACAATGGTTCCCATTCAAGCTTAATTCCCCAATTGTCCACCAAACCCGAAAAGCTGCACAGATCGATGCCTAGCAAACTTTAGCGTGATAGGTAGTCGAACAAAATATAATTTCACATCTGATTATACAATCAATTATTCCTTACTGTTGTGAGCTGACTTCACTGTTGTAAGGGAAACGTATAAAGATAATGTATGATATTCCTAATAAATAAATAGTATCTTAGAGGCCAGCCTTTTTCTTTTGATATTTGAGCAGTTTATTGATACGGAAGACACAACTGACAAATAGGCGTATTTGCGTACCAGTCAACTTCATCACCGGGTGAAATGATCAACTCCATTCACAGCAGCAACACCATCTTAAAAAACCGCATACTGCAAACCACATACAATCAAGTCCAGCACTTTTTAGAGTCAGCCAAAACTACGATAGTCGAGTGGCGGGCACAAGTTCACCGAAGATCATGAACCTTCACCTTACTGCAAAGAAATCACATTGCTTTACGCTACCTCGTCGAAATGATATTGGACATCGTATATTTTGCGCTTATTATGAAACAGAGTCAAGGCCAGGTCAATGGGGGCAGGTCGCGTCCGGTTGAAAAGTATTTATATTTTATATAAGTGTCCTTCTCCAGCTTGGAAAATGTGAAAAGCAAACCTGTAGGAGCTAAACAGAAGAAAGCTAAATTTCATGAGCTTTTGGCTAAACAAAAACAACTGAAAGAAGTAAGTTCTATCCATTGTTTTCGCTATCAAATAGATGAAACGTGAAAAAATGAAAGAGATAGAAAGAAAACGGGAGGAAAGACGGAGAAGACGCAAAGAACACAACGTATGTATGCAGAAGCTCACTAAAAAGGGACAGCCTGTAATGAAGCATCGAATAAAACTTCTCTTGAAACAGTTATGTCCAGAGAATTCTTAAATAAATGTTAGTGGTAAATATCGTGTTATTTATTTTCGAATGCATTTGGACTCACTAAAATCATTGGGTGTGTCACTATGCACGTAGTTTACCAGCTAGCATTATCTTCGGGTGCATTGCGAAACATTGGACGGTTCCTGAAGTTTGCCCCAAAGTTTCTGCAGTGTGCCGGAAGTCAATGCATCGATTAGCATGCCAGCTTGTTTAGTCTAGTCGAATTTGATTTTTTTTTCTTAAATAATGTTCATGTGCACATGAAAAAAATAAACATACGAATAAGTAAAGATACAAATTATATGCAATGATTGTCGGGATGATTTCAGTTTTAACCTCGGATCATGATATATGTGTTTTAGAATCCTGGATTAATCCAAGATTGTCTTCATTTCTATCTTCGAAAGTAATTGTCTTTAAATCA